AGCTTAGGCTTTGAAGGTTTTTTTTTAAGGAATTTTTCTCTTGGCTTTTTCCCCAGACTGATTGCTGGAACCGTGTCAGAATCTGCCAAGGGCTTGTTCCAGTCCCAAGTGAACCAAGTAGTTCAAGTGTTTTTTACATAATGGCAGATAGGAAATTGAAAAGCTCTCAGTGTTTGTCTGTGTACACCTTGAGTTTGATCACCAGCATCCGTAAGTGTCTGTCTCCTCCACTACTTTAGGGAAGGAGTTGTACAGAGTCAGAAGTTGTCTAGGACAGCCATGCATCCCCACTGGATTAATAATGCACTGAAGCGTTGTTAAATACATTGAAAATAAATAATGTTTAATGGACATAGTTGTCTGTTTGACAAGAAGTGTTAGTGTTATTCACAACTCTGAAAAGTTATGCTTGTAAAAGTTGCAGGAAACATGTCTGTTGCAAAAGACTATTTTAGAATGATTTTTTAAAGTACCTAAAAAGACTGATTACTTATGCAGCCTTTATATCATGCCTACTGTTGATTATCCATGTACTTGTCAGAAGGAAGAGAATAGTTGCTAGATTTTCTCAGAAAAAGTGAGAGGACAATTAATTCTCTGAGCCTTTGGGTTTGTATTGTGCTTTGTCAGTGATTGTCTTCACTGTCCATTTTAAGGATGTAGAGCAAAAGGTTGAATTTTCTGTGGCCTTTGTTGTCTTGAATGGACTTCAGGAAAGATCTGTTCTTTGGGAAAGGTCCATGTATGTGGTGATAGGGGCTGGGGGGAGGTATGGGAGGAAGAGTGTACAGACAGACTCTTATTTGAGAGATGTGGATGGGCAGGCACAGGTAGGCTCAGCAGAGCTGCATTGTGTGACCACACTGTACTGCATTTGCATGGGCCTGATTAAATATTCTTACAGTTTCTGGGAGGCTTATCCTGTGGTCCTAAATTCTTACATTAAATGGAGCAACTCAAGGGAACTTCTCTCCATGTAATGGCATAGAATCTTGTGTGCCCTTCCCCTGTCTGTGTCTGTTGGTCTTCAAGGAGCTAATTTTAGGCGAGTTTGTCTTGCTCAGCCCCTTTCTCCGTGCTTCAGGGCTGGGGGTGGTAATGGGCAATAACCTACTCATTTGGAGTTTAACAGAGAGATGCTTACACACCACATGTGCAGGAGAAGGTATTTTCCCTGTGGAGGTTGCAATGCCTGGTGGAGATTGTGTAGCCTCCACATTCATGTCACCTAAACTTATTTTGCTACAAGTTCCTGATTCTTCTGTTTACTGAGAGTAATTTCTGGTATAAAACTGGGAGCAGAGAGATAATGCTGTGTTGACTTTGGAATAGCAGTGATTTCTCTGATGTGGTAAGATGGAATTCTCTGGGAGACTGTGAAAACTTTGCGTATAATTTTTTATTGTTATGGCATAAACATAGGAAAGTCCATACTGTTTCAGGATAAGTTAGGACCATCTAGAAACTGATGACTGGCTGTGAGTTGCTATCTAATCACCTTAGATGAACAACTTATCTCTACCTATCTTTAGGTATCCAAGTTACCTATCTGAAAGTACCTGAGGTATTTTCTGTCCTTGTTTAAGAAAAAAGGCCTTGTTTAAGAAAAAGGACCTGGCAGAAGATGGGCACAAATGTATTTCATTAAGCATAAGCCTGTCCATGCCTTTGCCATCAGTCAATGCTGCCTCCTTTGTGCCAGTGAGCACATGAACACCTAGCGGGATGAAACAGGAAAATTGTCTCCTGAATATTATTCATATCTGGAGTTCGTTTTCAGCTGTATCACAAGTTCTGGAAGGGATAGAGTTGGATAGGCTTAGGCTGGTTGAAGTTGCTTTCCTGAGTCCAGAACAGAGCTGGTGAGCTGAAGGTAAGGTTGCATTTTTGACAGACCTATTTGAATGGTGATGGGGTCAATCCTAGTAGTGTGACAGGCATGTGCTTTATCCATTTGTGGGAAAGGATGAGGAGGACAGCTTTTGCTAGGAGGCAGAGGCAGATCTAAAGGTGTATTTACTAGCCCTTGGTAGAGAGCCCTATCTAGAAATTTGGACTGCTTCATGGGATCAAAGTGTCTTGTGTCCCTGTATCCTCAAGTGTCATAGGGAGATGTGTGGGATGTAGAATATTCATGTCATTTTATCTATTTGCTTTTACATGATCGTAAGGACATCTGACAGCTCAATAAAAGCTTTGAATAACATGCCCTGTGTCCTCCTTGTTTCCCAGTTGCTCTCCTTATCAATGAGGTGTGTAACCAAGTACTTTATTAAACAGCAGCTTATTAGAAAGTAACGTGCAGCTCAGCTGCAAGTGTGTAAAATAAGGAAATGCTCAACAAAACTGGTAAGTGCAGCACGTGATGAAAACCAATATTTTCCAGTTTTCCAACCAGTTCTTGGATGTAGTGGAGTCACCTTTTGCCGGTGCAGCTATTCTCCCTCTCATGTGGTTGAATGAGGGTCGGAGAAATTGGAGGTGCCCTTCCCAGTAAAAATGTGCTGAAGGAGCGCGTTGGCTGATTCACTGCCTTGCCCCACCTCTCAGGTCACACGGGGAATCCACTGGTGGATGCACTTACAGAAGTTTGCTTCCTGGTGGCTGTCAGGATCAGCGGTTGCTCAAATACCTCCTGCTGCTGCTATTCTTGGTTGCCCTAAAGCTTCTGTTCCTCCCTGAGCAATCTCTTATTCCACTCTCTTTCCTTCCTTACCCTCTTTACTGTCACAGATACAATTCAGGGTGCAGGCTCAGCTTGCATTCAAAGTTATCATTTGTTTTCTGCAGCAGCAGGTCTCCAGCCTTTTTTCTCTTTCTCCATGCTGATTTTGAGCTCTTGCCACCCTCAGTCCAGCACAGACTGACAGTCTCAGAAAGGCCATGGGGAAAATAGCAGTGTGCTCTTTCTTGTATGCAGAGAAAGGTTTCTTGCCTTTAATGCTTCATGTCACAGTCAGGCCACAAGTCTGATACTTTTATCTACTTGGTATGCCTTTATTTCATCTCTCCACATTCTCCTTCTCAAAGAGGGAGAAAAGACTGAAGTGAATCAGTGATAACTGCAGCTGTTCCTGCTGGAATAGCCATAATGCTGTACACCTCCATGTACTTGACCATTTGTCACGATCGAGCTTTTCAGCTTAAGGCCATAAAATAAGAATTTGCTGGTTTGAATTTTTTTTTAAACTTTCTGTTTACAGTACAGTAATATGGTAGCTGGTTTGTAAAAGTACAGGGGGTCAAAATAGTTAACTGAAAGGTAAACTAAGATGTGCCTTTGCATCTTGTTAGTTACTCTGTGGTAGCTGCTTTGTGTGCGTGCTCTCACACTTTTGCTCTTAAATTCACTGTGGAGCAAACTGCCTTGTGCTGACGGGCCTAAGATCGTGCAGGTGAGCAGCAGTGATGGTGCCCTAGGGAATGGAATTACAGTGCAGTAACTGGGTATCCTAAAGGATGGATGATGCCCCCCTAGCAGTCCTGAGCTATGGTCTGCAAGGCTGTCCTTCCCTGCAAAGCTGGGATTGAATGTTTCAAGGAATAGAGCTCTGAGCAATGTTTGTGATAGGTTCTCTCCATCCTTATGTGTGCTGGTGTTCACACACCTTCCTCTTGAAGGGAAAAAGTGATTTCTGTCCCTGCTTTGGTAGAGGTGTGTCAGTATTGGCACTGGCATGGCTTAGCCTGTATTGTTTCATTGGGTGGGGTGGGGGAAAGGGGAGAGGAGATATAACTGGGTAATTGGATTCAGGGATGATTGTGCTGCTGTGGTGAGTTTTACTGGATGAAGCAGCTCGTTGCGATAGGTGTTTGTTTCAGCTTCTGTCTGCAGGTGTGACTTGGCTAGATAAGGATGGTCTATCACGTTGATGATTTCATTGTTTGATTTGGCTGGTCTGGGTGGAGAATGTAGCTGCATTGTTTGGGACTAGCTTTGTAGTTTGGTTTTGTGAAGTGGATTACACGGCAGCACATTGCTACATTATTAAGGTGAAGCTGCAGTAGATAATAGTTGGAGGATGTTGGAGGGAAGAGAATATGCACAGGCTTTCACAATGCGTTTTTTTTGAGCTAACTAATTGAGCCTCCAGCTCCCACGTTTCTGCTGGGAGATCTGGTCAGCAGAATGCATTGGGATTACACAGAAAAAATTTGGTAGTGGTTTCACTTTGCAATTGTACTTTAACTGCAAGGCTGTCCATGCTGTGTAAATAGCTGAGAGTGCTCTGAGATACCACGCTGGCCCTGCCAGTGTGAGTGTTGTCTGGATTCATACTGTTCTTGCAGCCTCTACAGTTTTCACAGTGGGTGAGGGAGAAGCTGGCAGGTCACTGCTCTTTTTCTACTAACCTCAAATTTACCAGTAAACCGTTCTTCAGAGCCTGCATTTCCTTATATTGCTGAACTTTCAGGCACTTAAATTTTCTTTGGATTCCCTTCTTCCTGTAGGGTATGCAATGATGTGAAGTTGGAGCTGCCAGAGCAGTAGATAGTGCTTCGTCCTTCTAAAACCTTCCTGGTTTTCCCCTAGATATGATTGCCTTGCTTTACCTGATACTTGATGTTTCTGTTTATACAATGTCTGGCTGTGGAGGAGGTTGCATATATGAAGCACAAGGGTTTGGCAGGAGTTGCTGGGCACATTGTAAGGGGTTGGTGAGCCTTTGAAGAGAGGTGGGTGCAGAAAAGGGAAGGTGACATGTCCAAGTTTTGTGCCAGCTTCTCTAAGCACAGATGAGCTCATGGGAATCCAGCTGGCTAAACATGGGAGTGCTAAAGCAGGTCTGCCCTATTTCCCCTCTGTGGCCAGCATGGATCTTCTGAGTCTTCCAGTCTGATGGTGGCTTCTTGTGTGATGATAAATATGAGCAGAGGCTTCCCCTTGTTGGAGGTTCAGAGCAACTTTTGATTTCTCTGCTTCTGTGGTTGGATGCATGGAAGGGGGTGCACAGCTTGGCTGTGAGTTTTTGTTGGTGAAACTTCTCTTCTTTTTCCAGGTGACTGTTTTTTGTGAGACAAGTGGTTTGCAACTCATGGCCTCCACAATGAGTACTGCAGTGTCGTGACACCAGGGGTCTTGGTAAGCTTCTTGTTGGAAAAACAAGTATCTATAATATCTCCATGAATGCAGATCTATCTATTTTGTCTCTGCAGTTAATGTTTGAATTAATTTAAAGCCATCCAAATCGTAGGCTGCAAGCAAGTGGGGTGGGGCTACATTTTCACCTGTTCTCACCTCCTCTTCTGAGCTTGTAATGGTAGTGATGTGGTTACATGATGAACCAGGTCAGGGGGCAAATCCAGCTGAATAGAAATTTCTGTTGTTTCCCTTGGGTTAGTTCCCATTCAGATCTTTCCCTGATGTGGTCAGGAGAGGTGGTGAGAATGAGTAGCCTGTCGAACCATCCCTTTTCTCTGCAACCTTTGCCTGCCACACCTTAAAGCCATCCTGAAAATACAGCCTTGGATGGAGCTTTCCAAAATGTCTTTTAAAGTGTTTTGACCATTCACTGTCACTGACTCTGCCTCTAATTTCAAAGCAATGGTATAAGCTTTGCTATGGCAGTCAGATTCCAGCTGCAAAAATACATTTCTCTAGAGTTTTTCCATTATTGAACCGTAGATTCCCAGGCATATATATGTTAGAAGTGCATTGAGAAAAATCATGAGACATTCCATTTCACATTATAAAAGATGGTTCCCCATGTGCAGAAATAAGAAGCTGAGGAAGTTGACTTGCTGTTGTTCCTCCCATGAATATAGTGATGTATCCTTTATAGCTCTCTCTGGTAAGAATAAATTTAAACTGAGATTGGAAAACACAGTTCCCTTGCACAGTGCATCAGTTCCAATATATGGAAGATGCATGTATATACAATAATAAAAAAATAAGGTTAAAAAATTGGAGGGTTCTCCTCCCACCCCTGTGTGAAGTACTTGAGAGTTTGGTGATGTCAGGAATACCATGTAGTCAGTGATTGTGATTCTTCATGTTTTCTCATTGCACTGTGCAAGACTGGGACTCTTGACAATTCTCATCTTGTAATAAAAGGTAACATAACATATAAATGTCCAAATGGAAAAGCAGAGGATTAAACAACCAGAATACTCAAGTTCATTATGCAGGCATCTACGTCCTGCTGTAAGCATCTAGCCCTGCTCACTTTTATGCTGTTACTCCTTTTCTCTATCTCTTTTATTTTATTTTTTTTAAGCCTGGAATTCACTGTATTTGCAGTCACATCTTCACCTTAAGTGAGGGTGCTGCAGCTTCACAGAGTTCCACTGACTTTTACAGATGTACCAATCTCTTGAAAAGCAGTTAGGGTGCTGTTGATAATGTTACAGTTTTGTTTAAAAACAGACACAGGAGCCAAATTTGCATGAAAAGATGATACAGTTTAGCTGTGTGGGAAGGGGTGCTCTCTCCTCTTTAATGTATCTGCACAGAACCAGCTGTAATTGCAACATGATAGTAGGAACAATAGTGACAGGATAACTCCAACATTGTTCCCAAAATCAGTGGGATAACCAGCTAATAGCCCCAGAGAGGCATGTGGGTCCTCTGGAGTGTGGCTCAGAGTAGAGTTCATCTGATTGTGCCTGATATGAGGCCTTTAAAATGAGACATTTGCTGCAGAAACATTCCCCACATTAATAGGTTTGTGCAGCACAGTGGAGATGAGAATAGGAAGTAGGATGACTTCTCTGGCTCATGAAGGAGACGTGTGGTAGAGAGGAGAATTTTTGGAGGTGATGTAGAACTTCACACAACTGCTGCAGTGTGGATCACTATCATATTAAAGTAGAGCAGCGCAAAGCCACTAAAATGTGTAACAGCACGACACCTGTACAAATTTAGGGAACTGGAAAACCATGGTGCTCAATACTATGAGTTGCTGATAACTACTTGGCCAGAGGTGATCATAGAGTACCCATGTCTTTTAATCCTCTGGTGTCATCAGCACATAAGCCAATTTGTTGTTTTGAAATGCAGTTTGAACAGTAGTTTCTTCATAAAATTCAAGACACTTCCATCCTAGTAAGATTTCTTTTGCTTCATTTTGTATATATAGGAAGAAACTACTTCTTTGGTGCTGAGAAAGAATATCGGGAATATTTACATTTGAATAATATTGAACTAGCAATGCTTAATACATTAACAATAAATCTTGGTTAGATTCTAAATTAAGTGGATTTGCATCTGAGTAGGTGAGATGAACAGGAGAGATTTTGTTGAAACATAAACAAGACAGAAATTTGTTCCAAAATAATTTAGCCCAAAGCACGTAAACAGTAATGTTCAATAGTTTCCACCTCCAGAAACAGCTTTATGTGCCTTATTGCCTGCATCATGCATATTGTTTCTTTGAAAGAAGCTGAAAAAGCAGCTGCTTTTTTTTAAGAAAAAAACTTAAATAATCTCTAGAGTGTTGCTGAGCAAATTTAGATGGGTACTACTCCAGTGTTTTTTTGGCCATTTTAATAGATACGATGACTAACCCCTCATGTTTTCAGAGTAATCACACAGAGCAGTTACTTGCAGGTGGTCAGGAAGGCATTTTGTTTTATTTTTCTCCCTTTGTGTAACCCTTAGCGCACATCATTGAACACATGTCTAGGTATATTGGACCAAAGAGACAAAAGATTTAAGCAGTTTATGTTCTTAAGAAATATCAGATTATGGCCATTCCTAGGGGAATTTTGGATAGCTAAGTCATGTTGGGGGTTTGTACCTTTGGCTTCCTACTGACTTGCTGTGAAGTGTCTTTAAGTTGAGCATGGATGCAAAATCAAATACAGAATTCAGATACAAGGTGCTTCCCTGTTTTGTTGACTCCAGAATGATTTGATTTGGACAAAGGGAAGATGGCTTCACTGCCTGTAAAATGAATGGCCAGCCAGGTCTGCCTCTTGTCTAAAATACACATCTGTCTGAAAGCTCTTCTTCTGTTTCTTCTTGGGAATGGGGGAAGAATTGCCATACATTGCTTCACACCAGACACATCTCCTTGGGAAGTTCCTCATTGGTTTTCTGTTCTCTGCTTGTGGGGTGGTTTGCAGTGTGCCCTGGAGATGCGAGACTTCCCCTGGGCAGCAGGAGGCACGCATCTAGAGAATGCTGGAGCTGCAGGAGGGAAGTGCCCAGTGCAAAAGCAGCGAGGAGCAAAGAGAAAAAAGGCAAGCAGGCAGCCAGCGCTGAGAGAAGCGGGTGGCAGAAAGTGCTTCGACGCTGCCTCTGGCGGCACGCTCCCCAGAGGAACTTGACGAGAGCCCATCTGCGTGTGTGTGAGACTGTGAGCTCAGGATTTCTGTCAATGCATTCCAGTAACCCCAAAGTGAGGAACTCCCCGTCAGGCAACACACAGAGGTAAGGAGAAGAGCCTGCAATCAGTTGCCGTGGGTTAATGCACGTTGCCATCCCTGCTCTGCTGCTGGATTAGCCCAAGGACTGGGGCAGTGTGGCTTCCTGGTCCATCTGTGCTCCCATCAGACCTGCTGAGTACCTGAGCAGTGGCTGCACAGCGCTGGTGGTCTCCGTGTTTGCAAGGCTCAGGATGAGCTAAAAGCTGTAAATCTGTGAGGCATGGATTCTCCATTCCTTGTGCTCTCCTCCCTTCCACCAGGTGCCTGGATAGGCTGTAGGAGAGTAAACCTGCTGTTTCTATCTTGGTTTTTTTTTCTCTTCTCCTCTTCTAATTATCTATTTCCCAAGGGGTAGTTGGGCAGCAGAAGGTCTCTCTGTCTGTACTTTCACACAAAATGCTTTCTCCATATTACTGGCTTGAACAGCCTGAAGAACTGATCAGCTGAGCACTAAGATCCTCTGCATCAGTCACCTGCCAGTGCAGCAGGTCAGCATTTCTTCTCCACTAATTTGGAAAGGGAAAAATATGAAAGCAAAGCAGTGTCCAGGGACTTATGATGGTTCTGATTGACAGCATTCTTGAGTTTGATTATTTACTCCTAGAGGTCACCTGGAGCTTAACAGTATTTCAGAGGGAATGCTTCTGAGTCAGATGTCTGTCCAAAGGAAGGATCAGCTTTTGTGAATCCCACAGTGAGGATGCTAGCAAGCACTGCCTGTTGGAAGTGATAGTGGTGATGGGAAAACACAGTGCAGAAGATCTGATAGCAATGGAGTAAGTGAAGGGTGAGGAGGGAAGGGGTGCCTATTATCTGTAGAACCCAGAGGAGCAAAATATTTTTAGGATGCAATTTGCTGGATGGAGGAGGAATGAAAATCCTGAGTCTCCTTTGGCAAAATGAGGAGGATTCATCTGCCCCATTTTGCAGGAGTGTGCTTGGAGATGGTATCCTTCTCTTTCCTTATTCAGGGGCAGGTTGTAGCTGGTTTAATTGTTTTCACGGTCAGAGGTTTGTGTTTCTCTGGCAGCTTGCCCCAATGTATGACGAATGCTGCAGTAATGCTGGGTTTTCCTTGTGCTCCCTGTAGAACTGGATGGGGAGGTGGAAGGAGGGGGTGGGGGGGGGTCTGCTCTGATCAGAGCTGCAGCGTAGTTGGGGTCCAGGAGAATGGTGAGGGGAACTTTATTGTTTGTTTACTCTGAGCTGGTCTTGGTGTGAGGTGCTTCTCTGTGCACATAGAAACCGTTGTCTTTATTGACAGAAGCACCAGAGGTTGGTCCTCGTGTGACAGCAGTTTCTGGGATCTGGCAGGTCTGTGGTTTGCCCTGGTGCCTTCTTGAGCAATGAGATCCCATCTTGGATAATAACCCTTTCAGGGCATGTTCAAAAAAGCACCTGCATGACTCTAAGCTTGCAGGCATTTTTTATTTGTCAGCAATTGTCTTAGCTTGTAAAGGTGACAGTGGTTGTTTCTGCTTCACTCTAATCTGTTCCTACAGGGCTGAATGAATCAATGGTGTGATTTGTCACTTTTTCCTTTTCTTTCTTTTTTTTTTTTTCCTCTCTCCTCAGTAGCCCCAAATCAAAGCAGGAGGTGATGGTCCGTCCCCCTACAGTGATGTCCCCGTCTGGCAACCCTCAGCTGGATTCCAAATTTTCCAACCAAGGCAAACAAGGGGGCTCCACCAGCCAATCCCAGCCCTCTCCCTGTGACCCCAAAAGTGGAGGTCACACTCCCAAAGTGCTCCCGGGCCCGGGTGGGAATATGGGGCTGAAGAATGGGGCTGGAAATGGTGCCAAGGGGAAGGGGAAGAGAGAGAGGAGCATTTCGGCAGACTCCTTTGAACAGAGGGAAGCTGGGACTCCTAATGATGACCCGGAAATCAAAGGTATGTTTGCTAGGGTTCATGTGCAAGGGCAGACAATCAGTCTGAATCCTCTGTGAGACAGAGAATTGCTATGCAAGTATTAGTGAAACATTTGTTTGTTTGGGGTTCTGTAAGTTCCAGCCAATGAAGTCTAAAGGTCTCGAGAGCAGGCGAAGAGGAGAGGTTGTCATAGCTGGCCTTGGTAAATGTCTTGTTCACGCTCAGTTAGAGCCCAGACCTGGTGGGAAAGTTCCTTTGTAACTCTTAAACTCCCCCGGAGGATTTAAAAGTACAAATGCAACCTGTTGGTGTGCTTTTGGCCTTTGGCCTTTCAGGAACTGTTCTTTTGTAACTGGGGTTTTAAACAATATACAGGTCTGTTTTGTCAACACGGATACATAACCTGTAGCACCTTGACTGGTAACACAGGCCAGAGAGTTGGGATTTCTGTGTTCTCTTCCTGGCTCCACCATTGCCTCTGTGAGGCAATGCAAAACCAGACCGCATATTCAGCTGTCCATCTTTGTTGACCATTTGCTAGGTCACCTAGCTAAGGTGGCTGAGCACAAAAAAAAAAAGTATAGTTTTGCAGGAGTGTTTTCTTGAGGCAGACATAACCTACCTGAAGGTGTAGTTTTCCTGCTTTTCTATGTGGTCATTAGAGAATTCAAAGAGATGAGTTGTGAGAACTTCCACTTTCCTTGAAAAGGGACACAAGAGGATCTTTTTCCCAGGGTTGCTTGAAGGACACCAAGGCTTTAGAGGAAAGATGTGTGGTGTAATAGAAGAATTGCCTTTAGTGGCGCTTGAAGAAGAAGCTCTCATCAGTTTCCAGAATTGATTTCCAAAGAGATCCCAAGGTAGTGATTCCCTCCTTTTCCCCTTTGTCCCTTTCCAGACTGCAATTCTGCTGATCATGTGAAGTCCCAGGAGTCTCAGCACACACCACACTCCATGACTCCTTCAAATGCTTCAGCCCCAAGGTCTTCCACACCTTCCCATGGTCTGACTGCCACTTTGGAGCCAGCAAGCGGGCAGAAGACTCCTTCCAAAGTGGTTTACGTCTTTTCTACTGAGATGGCCAACAAGTAAGTAGGTAGATGCTTGAATGTCTTCTGGGAGCAGGAATTATATTTGTGCTCATCTTTTAAGAGATTATCAAGGGCACTTTCTGCATCAAGTAGCAAAAAGTCATTACTTCTTTTGGGGAAGCTGAAGGGGTTGGAGTGGACAATGTACCTACCTTTTCCTCTCTGAGAAGTAATTGTTTACTCCTCTGTGGTATGGGGATATTTTATTTTTTTTGGCAAATGCTGGTTGATGTTGGTTTGCAATCCATGTAATGAATAGGAGCCAGGATAGCTTAAACTGAGACATGAACCCTGAATGCTGATGAGTTTGTTGATGTAAGCATTCTTCTTTTCCTACTCAACTAGAGTGAATATGTGTGGTTAAGTCTTTCTCCCTTTTGCCAGCTGAAAGATGGAAAGGAGGCCAGCTAAGAAAAATTGATTCTTAGCTTCAACTGGATATGTGCATCTACCTGTCTGTCTTTGCAGGGCTGCAGAAGCTGTGCTGAAGGGACAGGTGGAAACAATTGTGTCCTTTCATATCCAGAACATCTCGAACAGCAAGGCGGAACGAAACACTGTACCCTTGGTAGGGAATACCTGCATGGGGGCGAGAAGGGGAAATCGTAAATGTGCCTGTGTGTGATGCAGAGAGATGGATGATTAGTTACACTCTGAAACAAGTTTTAGGAAGACAGACAGTTGTTGTTCAGACTGTCTGAAATATCTTCTTCTTCCAAAGAAGAGTCTTGCAATATTTGGGTAGTATATTTCCAACCCATTGGTCATGCAGAGGGGTCACAGATGAAAGCGGTCCCTGCAGTAATGCCTTGAGCAAAGCAGGTTTCTGCATTGCCAAGAGGCTGCTATGTAATGGCTGCATGAAGGCTACCCTTCCCTGCAAATTTTGGGCTGGTGGGATTGAGATTGGGTGTTTGTTTGCACTGCTGTTTAGGTGACATGGCTGTAAGAAGAGCAGGTGACTGAGTGTGGCTTTCTCTTGCAGAACCCCCAGATCACTGCACTTCGGACTGAACCCAAGCCCCTGCCACAGCCCCAGCCCCCTGCTGCCCAGGACCAGAACCCTCCCCAGAACGCCAAAATGCAGCCGACTCCACCTGTGTCAGCACCAGTATCCAAACCCACTGGCCCTCCATGTCCCATAGATCAGGACAGTCCCAGTGTGGAAAGCAAAGTGATGTCTGTGGGCAGCCCTGCCAACTCTACCCCGTTGCAGACAGAAGGATTTGGGCAGAGTTCAACCCCCAATAATCGAGCAGTTAGCCCAGTTTCCCAAGGTAGCAATAGCTCTGCTGCAGACCCCAAAGGTCCTCCCCAGCAGGGGTCTGGTGGGGACCCATCCAGTTTGGGTGAGAATCCCGACGGACTGTCACAGGAGCAGCTGGAGCACCGAGAGCGCTCGTTGCAGACCCTGAGAGACATCCAGCGCATGCTCTTCCCTGATGAGAAGGAGTTTGCAGGAGGGCAAAGTGGGGGGCCACCCCCAAATGCTGGAGTGCTGGATGGTCCCCAAAAGAAACCCGAAGGGCCGATACAGGCTATGATGGCTCAATCCCAAAGTTTAGGCAAAGGGTCGGGGTCTCGGACAGATGGAGGGGCTCCATTTGGCCCTCAAGGACACAGGGACATGCCTTTTTCCCCAGATGAAATGGGACCACCACCAATGAACTCCCAGTCAGGAGCCATAGGCCCAGACCACCTGGACCATATGACTCCTGAGCAGGTGGCCTGGCTTAAGCTGCAGCAGGAGTTTTATGAGGAGAAGAGAAGGAAGCAAGAGCAGGTGGTTGTGCAGCAGTGTTCCCTGCAGGACATGATGGTCCACCAGCACGGACCTCGTGGGGTGGTCCGAGGTCCTCCCCCTCCCTACCAGATGACCCCTGGTGAGGGCTGGGGACCTGGGGGTCCAGAGCCCTTCCCTGAAGGCATGAATATGGCACACTCTCTGCCCCCCAGGGGCATGGCCCCTCATCCCAACATGCCTGGGAGCCAGATGCGCCTGCCTGGTTTTGCAGGAATGATGAACCCTGACATGGAAGGCCCCAATGTCCCGAATCCCGCCTCGCGGCCTGGGCTTTCAGGAGTTAGTTGGCCAGATGATGTGCCAAAAATCCCAGATGGCCGAAACTTCCCTCCTGGTCAGGGTGTCTTCAGCGGCCCTGGCCGAGGGGAGCGATTCCCCAATCCGCAGGGCCTGCCTGAAGAGCTCTATCAGCAGCAGCTGGCTGAGAAACAGATGGGCCTCCCTCCTGGTCTGAACATGGAAGGCATCAGGCCTGGCATGGAGATCAACAGAATGATGCCCTCCCAGAGACACATGGAGCCTGGGAACAACCCCATCTTCCCTCGCATGCCGGTAGAAGGACCGATGAGCCCCTCTAGGGGGGACTTTCCAAAAGGAATACCCCCACAAATGGCTTCTAGCAGGGAGCTGGAGTTTGGGATGGGCCCTGGCAGCATGAAGGGGGACATGGGCATGAATGTCAGCATGGGCTCTAACCCACCTCTGGTCCCTCAGAAGCTGAGGGAGGCAGGAGTTGGGCCAGAAGAGATGATGAAGCTGCGCCCTGGTGTCTCGGAGATGCTCTCCTCTCAGCAGAAAATGGTGCCGCTGCCGTTTGGGGAGCACCCGCAGCAGGAGTATGGCATGGGTCCCAGGCCTTTCCTTCCCATGTCTCAGGGCCCAGGAGTCGGTCTCCGGAATCTCAGAGAACAGATCGGGCCTGACCAAAGGACTAACAACCGGCTCAGCCACATGCCGCCACTACCTCTCAATCCCACCAGTAACCCGAATAGCCTCAACACTGCTCCCCCTGCGCAGCGCAGCCTCGGCCGCAAGCCCTTGGATATCTCTGCAGCTGGTCAGGTGCATTCGCCAGGAATCAACCCTCTGAAGTCCCCCACGATGCGCCAGGTCCAGTCTCCCATGATGGGGTCTCCCTCGGGGAACCTCAAGTCCCCTCAGACACCCTCCCAGCTGGCAGGAATGCTTGCGGGCCCCACTGCCGCAGCTGCTGCTGCCTCCATTAAATCCCCCCCTGTCTTGGGGTCTGCTGCTGCTTCTCCTGTCCACCTCAAGTCTCCGTCTCTCCCTGCACCTTCTCCTGGATGGACTTCATCTCCGAAGCCTCCTTTGCAGAGCCCTGGGATTCCCCCGAACCACAAGGCTTCTCTAACCATGTCTTCTCCAGCCATGCTGGGGAACGTGGAGTCGGGTGAGTGCCACCTCTGCTAGCCAGATTCGGTGCTTTGGTTCGTGTCGGGTCATCCAAAATGTGCAGCAAAGGGAGGAAGGAGGGCTCCTGCAGCAGGATGAGAGCTGGATGGCCCTTTCCCTATTTGAAGGGGGCTGCGTGGCCATGCAAATGAAGGGTGAGGGCTTCTCCTCCTCCTCCTGTTATATTTGTGGGTTTGCACCCTGCTTCCCGTGTGTCGAGCTGAGAGCTGGTCATGGTCACTGAGGACATAAAAGCAAAAGGATGAGGTTGAGAGGTGTGAAAAGATGTGGAGGATCAATGAGAGAAGCTTCTCCTTGAAGGGGTCTTTTGCTGTTCTTTCATAGCTCAGTCATTGTAGCTCAACGGAGAAGATCCCGTTGATGTTATTAAAGCACTTCAGTGTGGAAGGTTCCTACAAAGACATGCTGAGCAGTTAACCAGCTGGGTATCTAGGCATGGGTCAGGAATGGTTGGTCTTTTCTAGGTGTACACTGAAGACAGGAAGTTGTGATGCTGTTGTTCGGGTATGGGCGATTGAGAGACGGGGACATCTGAGTCGAGATCAGAAGCCTCTCCCACAGTTTCTGCTCAATCAGGCCTAAGATATTAAGCTCCTTTATCAGTTCTATTGTACTCTCTGGTTTATTCCCCATATCAGGCTTCAAGCATTTTGGAGTGATCTAACCACCACTGTGAATAACATTAGGTTGTGTTCTGAGCCGTGCTGTGCCTGGGGACGTCGGGGTCCAGGTGCTGGCACATCTCTGCCCTCACCTTCTCAAAGCTCACCCACCTTCAGTCCAGGCCTCCACAGCCCTGGGCGGCCTTCCCACCGGGAAGATTCTCCCGGCTGGGAAAGAGGAGCCCTTTGCCCACGTTGCCCTCTAGTGCTGCCGCGGGTAACAGCGGGGACCGGCGCTGGGACGTGCTTGTGGGGCCAGCGGCTCGGGAAAGGCACATAAGTGCTTCAGTCTGTGCCTTACGTAGTGCTTAGTGAATGACATGCAGCTCTTCCAAAGCATGGATCTTTCAGCATTGCAGTTTTTTTATATTCCCTATTCTGCTTTCCTCTTTTGGTTGGGAGGGGCTGAGGAACGTGCAGTGAATTTTCAGTGAGAGTACAGCTTCAGTTTAGCATCTTTCCTTCACATTGGTCTGGATGGCATAAAATTCATCAGTGAGGAACAAAGGAGATTGGAAGTGCAGTTAAGTTACTTCTAATTTTGTGAGAGCAAAGGATGACATTAACCTAATAGGTGCAGAGAATGCTTCTTTCGCTGGAATAAGCAGCTAATATCTCTATATGAAACAAGAAATGCAACGTAAACAGGGAGTTTTACTTGTAGCTCCTGATGTAGCTTGTCAGAAATGTGCTCACATGTCTCAGCATAATATCTGCTACAGCTTTCCTTGTGCTGCCTGTGTCTTTTTTGATTATAGATTTTGATTTTGATGGCCAGCTCTGGAACCTAAGTCTGTCTTCAGTGTATGGAAATTGAATAGTGAGATTTTCAGACTAAACTGGTAATTTTTCACATGGATTTGTGTAGGCTCAAAATAGTTCTACTTAGAAATGTTGTGCAGTAGGATAACAGATGTTAATCAACTTGACCAATAGGCTTATTTTTCTGGTTACCTTTCATAGTCATTGACTGCATTAGTCATGTAAAGTCTCGCAATAATTTCTAGTTTTTGAGATTTCTAGGGGAAAAGAGTTTGATTTAAGGAAAACAGTAAGGAGAAAAAATTAAATTCTTTCTCGCTCTGTTTTTTTTGGTTTGTTTTTTTTTTCCTAAGGTGGTCCACCTCCTTCCACAGTCAGCCAGTCTGCTCCTGTGACTCTCCCTGGAAATCTTCCCTCTAGCAGTCCTTACACAATGCCTCCAGAGCCAACCCTCTCCCAGAATCCCCTCTCCATTATGATGTCCAGGATGTCCAAATTTGCCATGCCCAGCTCAACACCGCTCTATCACGATGCCATCAAAACTGTGGCCAGCTCGGATGACGACTCCCCTCCAGCACGCTCCCCAAACTTGCCACCTATGAACAGCGTACCAGGTAAGGAAATCAAAGGAACATTAGCACAAGGGTGATTTTATGGAAGCCTCGTCAAATGAAAACAGTGAGATGGGAAGAAACTTGAGGAATATGTAGCCATGGGTCATTTTTGAGAAAGCATTTGTAATTCTTTGAAATGTATAGCTGGAAATTCTCCTTGCAACTGTTTTTTTCTGTCCAGAAAGTGTGCATTCTTCAGAAGGTGTCTAACATGGAAAATGCTTGTGTATGGGGGAGATTTTCCCCTCAGGCTGGCGGGAATTACTTGTGTAAATGAAGGCTGCTCATGGGATTAAGGGTCAGATCTACAATGTGTTATCCAGAAGAAACTTTACCTCTCCTGTCTTAAGGCAGTGCTATAGAAACTTCACAGTTTTTAAGGGGGGTTGTTTGGATTTTTTTTGACACTGAATCATCAAAAATACAAAAATAGGCTGTAGCACCTCCATCCTATTAATTAATAGTTGAAAAAGGGGATGAGTGGATGTTTCAAGAGTGGCAATTGGTAATGAATTCTTGATGAGTTTACCTGTAGCTTTGCAGTGTGTTTCACACAGTAATGATCAGAGTGGGTGAATATATCTGGGGGAAGCTGGCTAATTGAATAAGTTCATGATGGTAACTCATTAACCTCATTGATCACTGCCTCTTAGCCTTACAAGGGTTACCTGATTTATCACTGCTGAGTTTTGAAAGGCATTCCAGCCACTTCCCAGTGGACAAGTGTCCATATGCTGATAATCTGTCACAGACATGTTTGTTACTGCCTGTGTCATCCAGACTGCCAGGGAGGTGGTGAAAATATGGTTTGGATTGAAATCCTACTTATCGAGCAGGCCTTAGTCACTGCTTGATAGGGCAGTGACAAGCTTAGGGAGATGGCTGTTTGAGTGACATCAAATTTCTGGTTAAAATAACACTGTTCAGAGCCACTGCTGATGTTTTTCTTACTAGCACTGGTTTTTTTGTGTGTGTGCAGACTTGGTAACCTTGCAGCTATCTCTGATAGCTTTATTGATTATTACTGGCTGTTGTCTAAATGTGATTCCTTGTTTCTTCCCTAGGAATGGGTATTAATTCTCAGAATCCTCGAATTTCAGGTCCAAACCCAGTGGGTCCAATGCCAACCCTTAGCCCAATGGGAATGACCCAGCCTCTTTCCCATAACAACCAGATGCCCTCTCCAAATGCTATGGGACCCAATATACCTCCTCACGGGGTCCCTGTGGGACCCGGCCTGATGTCACACAACCCAATGATGGGGCATGGTTCCCAGGAGTCTCCAATGGTACCTCAAGGACGCCTGGGCTTCCCGCAGGGGTTCCCTCCTGTACAGTCCCCTCCACAGCAGGTGCCATTTCCACACAACGGGCCCAGCGGTGGACAAGGCAACTTTCCAGCGGGAATGGGCTTCCACGGAGAAGGACCTCTGGGGCGTCCTACCAACCTGCCCCAAAGTTCGACAGATCCAGCACTTTGCAAGACTGGAGGCCCTGGCGGTCCAGACTCCTTCACTGTTCTTGGAAACAACATGCCTTCAGTTTTCACTGATCCAGAGCTGCAGGAGGTGATCCGTCCTGGAGCCACGGGAATACCCGAGTTTGACCTGTCCAGGATTATCCCATCGGAGAAGCCTAGCCAGACACTACAGTATTTCCCTCGTGGGGAGGTGCCGGGCCGCAAGCAGCCGCAGGGTCCCGGGCCCGGCTTCTCCCACATGCAGGGGATGATAGGAGAGCAGACCCCGAGGATGGGACTAACATTGCCCGGCATGGGGGGCCCCGGGCCGGTGGGAACTCCGGATATCCCTCTTGGCACGGCTCCGTCCATGCCCGGTCACAACCCGATGAGGCCGCCGGCCTTCCTGCAGCAGGGCATGATGGGGCCGCATCACCGCATGATGTCACCAGCACAGCCCGCCATGCCCGGCCAGCCCGCGCTCATGAGCAACCCTGTGGCCGCCGTGGGCATGATCCCAGGCAAGGACCGAGCCCCCGCCGGGCTGTACAGCCACCCGGGCCCTGTGGGGTCACCTGGGATGATGATGTCAATGCAGGGCATGATGGGACCCCAACAAAACATCATGATTCCCCCCCAGATGAGGCCCCGAGGTATGGCTGCTGATGTTGGCATGGGAGGATTTAGCCAAGGCCCTGGAAACCCAGGGAACATGATGTTTTAAGCTGCTACCATAAAGACTGGATGTTCTGATCCTTGTCAAGATGAGATTCCAAGTCCTGAGGGCTTTTTTGGGAGCTTCAGGAGTATACAGTTTGGCCATGCAATAGGTGAAAAGAGACCAGAGGACACTTTGGGAAATCTCGAATGTATGGAATTACCTGAAAAAAAAAAAAATATTCATTTTAACAGGTTGTTTTTTTTTTAAGATTTATTTTTTAAAAATTATTTTTGTGGACTTGGGTATCCCGTGACGGCACCTGCTTTGAGAATCTGTAGCTGTATTTTGAGAATTGCCATTTGTCACAAGTTGCACCATTCTCTGTATGTTTACGTCCTTCGGACTGGCTTCTCCCAGGACTCTCGGTTATTTTTGGGGTTTTTTGTGTACTGTACTATATTGTAAAAGGGATTTTAGCAGAGACTTTAGTCTTTGGGGTGAGAGGAGAATGGGATTCTAGGCTGTTTACTTTAGGTGGAGAATCCATCTTCAGAACTTCGGACTATTTTCCTTCAACTCCAATGTATAGAAAAACCAAACTACGACCTCAGAGCAGAGTATTAATGAAAAGCACAAAAAAGGAACTTAAGTTCAGTGAGGGGAATCTTTTAAAAGAAATAAATAATAAGTTAAGGACATATTTTTCAAATTATGGCGTGCTGTCCAGCACCTTCTGTCTCTCCCTCCCACTCTTTATTAAATAGGCTTCTCTCTCTCTCCGTCCCCTTCTGTCTCCTCCTATGGCAGCTGCAATACATTGTGTTATTTTGGGGAGTAAATCTAGGAGAGCCTCTCCTCACGTGGGGACTCTTCCCACTTTTAGGAAGGGGCTGGACTTGGACACTGTTACATCCTACAGTAGTCTCTCTCACTGTTTCCTATTCTCCTTTTCTTAGAAACCCCAAGTGATTTTATTAATGTGGGAGTGGAACAGACACTAAAAGTTATCCAGGATTTTTTTTTGTGGTTATTTTTTTTTTCCTCCCCAGCGTAAAACGTTCTGTGTAACCTCCATTAAATTTGGTACAAAACCACTCGCCAGGGCTGTGGTGTCAGAAAAATAAAATATATTGTTTCTTACAAAAATGAACTGTCTCCTTTATCCAGCCCAGTTGTTTCTGTGTACATCAAACAGCTGGACAGATGACTGTTTGTTCTTCCTTGTGATCACAGCCAGTCTAGAGGCCAGGTGGAGTAGACTATGACAGCTCCTAAAAGTGGTCAGTAGGCAGCTGCGTACTCCTTTTGAGGCAATTCTGTTAACTTAATCCTGAACTGAGCTTGTTTTCCCTTGGAGTGAGGTCTTATTTCAGAGCACCCCAGGAACGATACTTAAAGACTTCCTCAATTTGTTGAGGGTCAAGGAACAGATGAAACTTGTCTCCTCCTGGAGAATGTTTGCAGCACTGCAAGGTACGTGGGTCTGAGCTCTCCCTGAGCAGCAGTGTCAGTCTGCTGAGGCACTGGGATTGTGTCCCTCTCTGGGGACTCTGGATTGGGTCAGGTCTCTGTCAGCACTGAGAGCCTGAGATGGTGGGGAGCAGATGAACTTTAATAACAAAGGTGAGAGAGAAATTGTCAGTGAGCCGATTTTTATCAAGACAGCCCTGCTGAGTAAATTGTTGCTTTGCCACAGTTCTCATCGATTGCTTCCTAATCCCCTGTCTTTTCAAGCCTGCCTTTTGAGAGGATTTCAGCAAGGAGGTTTTATGGTCTTGCCTATGAGGAGTGAAAGGCTGGATGACAAAACATGGACTGGGAGTTGAGCCCTGTTCCTGGAGAATATCAACATGAGCCAGATACGGATCTGTAGGCCAGGGTGTGGGCTCTGTGGCTGCCGGTTCTCTGGTCCCCCAGCACTGTATATGGAGTGTGTAATCTGTTCTTCCTTCCACTTACTGCTACTTAAAATGATTACAATGAGTAGTTTCCTCAGAGGGCTGGCCATTAGTGTGAAAATCATGTGGAGAATGAGTATTTTTAACATGCTTGTGTGTGAGGATTTTTTAGAGTTAACTGATCCTTAACAGGTGGAAAAATAATTCCTCTTGGTGGCTGATTTACTAAACTTTTGTTGCCGGTGTTATAAAATGAGTGAAGCCATGCACAGTTGGAGACATGAAAGCCTCAGAGCCTTCTGTTGTCTGCTTCCAAATTCACCTTTGTGCTGTCATGCAAATTTACGATGATTTTGGGTGAGAATTACTCTTTTGACAAAGTGTAGGATGTCTGTTGTGGTGCTTCCCTCTGACAAGACAGGCAGCGTGCCTGAAGCACGGCTTGTCAAGATTTTAGAAAGAGCTGACAATGACACAGTAAGTGTTATTTCTGTAGAGAGGAATTACCTCTTCTTTAAGTGGTTGCACAGCTCCGTTTTGAGGACCTTGCATGGAAATTGTCACAATGCAACCTTTTTAAGTGTTGCCACTTCTGCCATCACTCCTGACTGTTTTTACCTTGTTGAACAAAGCAAAGTTCTTGATTGACATAGAAATGAGCCAGAGGTTTTGGGATTTTTTTTAAACTGTCTTAGTGCCTTCTATGCCTGTTGAGATTTTGAATAGCAAAGGATTTGAGGTGGCTGTGACTTATTCTAGGAAAATTAGCATAGGGAATTCACTCTTCCAAAGCCACTGAACAGCGAGAGGATACATTTTAAACATGCTGTGTAATTAAAGTTCCTTCTGTGTCTGTCTAACTTATGATGCTGGCATTTGGTATCTTAATGAGATTTTTCCTACAGAAAGTGCAGAAGATGTGGATCCTGACCTGAGTCCACGTAGGTGCACTTAAACTCAGTGTTTGCACCAGCAGATGGACAAGAGTTGCTAAGAGCTGGCTTCAGTTGTGAAAATTACTCTGTAGATATGCGTAGATGAACTTCTTTGTTTCGCTCTGATTCTACTTCTTCTCCTTTTGCATTACAAATGGAAAAGCTTTCTAGCTGTCAGCCTTGCAGATTCACCTGAGGATCTGTAAGCCAGGCTTTGTTCCCTCCTGCTTATCAATAGTAACTGTGACTCAGCTTTGGTAGTCATGGTACAGTTGAAGATGGAAAGTGGGTTGCCATTTTTAGTTTTCTTCCCCTCCCCGCCTGCTTTTTTTTTTTTTTTTTTTTTTTAAAGCTTTCAAATCATCCTCCTCCACCTTTGTTTGAAAGAATGAAATAGACTTTATTCATACATGCTTGGCTGCTCTTCCTCTCTAGTAACATGGGAGGAAACAGTCTGCTGTTCAAATTATCTCATCCCAGATGGTTGCGCAGCCGGAGTGTAGAGAGACTTAAAAGGTAAACCCAGCAGATGGTGAACTTCTGAAATGCTAAGTAATGTGCCTGCTAAATCAAAAGTTTAAAATATTTGAAATCTGTTTGTTTTAAATTAGTAGACTTGCACTCAGGTCATCTGTGAAGTACACTGGCAGTTTTAAGCACCGTTCAAATAAACTTGAGATTTGTACCTGTATCATGGGCTAGCTAATCTGCGAAAGAAGATGACAGCGAGGAGTCAGCCTTAGGAGTTTAGTCCTGACATCCTTGGGGTGTCTAATGGGTCACATTTTGGAAGACAGACCAGTGTGTGAAGATCTGATCTGCATCTCTCTTTGTTGGGATTTGAATGCTGGGAGTGCTTTTGGTACAGTACATGTGTCCTGACTCAGAGTAGATGTGGGTGCCCAAATCTTCCTGAGGGTAAGTTGGCATCCAGCATTTTTTGTTGCCCCAGAATGTTGGGACTATTATAAATATGGTATATGCAAAGCTTAATTTTGTGGTGCTTCGTGTGCTCTCTGCTATGCTGGTTTTCACTCAGGTGTCAGGACAGGCTACATTTTATTGGTGGTATCCTTCTGCACTCATACTGGTGAATGTTTTCCTTGTGCAGCCTCACCAGGTTGCTGGATAAAACCTGTTCCCTAATGTGACACTTCTCGAGGAAAAATGATCCATGTTTGATACAAGCTTGTATTTACTAAAATGTACTTCACTTTGTCAATTGGTAGTGATTCTTGACCTAAAAATAGTTAATAGGAAAAAAAATAATGCTGTTTTGTTTGGGATACTTGGAAATTGTTGATTTCTAGGAATTTTTATTTCACATTCTCAGGAATGTCTCAGCTCTTCCATGTTGTGTTTGCAATACAGTAGCTCCCACATACCTGTGTCCTTCAGTGTCACTGTCGGACATGAAATGATTCACACAGACACAGCTCGAAGTGTGATGAAAGAAGAAAGTTTATTCTGTCCTTTCAGTATTTATAGATTTTTGACAATGACCAGGGATTGGATAGTCAGGTTACCACCTTCCCAACCACACTGGCTGTGAGAGACGTCCATCAAAAGGCATATCTTTAATGGAATGTATAAACACCTATGTTTATAGTTACTTTCCTGGGAAACTGGCTAGAAATTATGAAAACAATATCGAAAGGACTGAGTCTCAGGGCAACACTTCAGTATTAAAACTCTTCCAGTGTCCAACCAATCCTCTTCTGAAATGATCATTTACACTAGCTGTGGTCAGAAATAACTCCTTCATCCTATGGGCCACAACTGCAGTGGAAGTGCTCAGTGGGATTGGACCATTGTGTGGCCCAACCACTTCCACACTGAGAGGATGGGTAAGGCTAGAACAGGGCAGAGGGGGCACTGCAGATACCCTGCAAGAGACAGTGAAGTAACCTGTTCCCAGTGGTGTCTTCCAAGGCACTGCCAAGAATCTGACCTGCTTTTGAGGTCTTCTGCTGTTACTGAAATTTGTGTTACCCTGCCTAGAGTGATAGGAGGATCTTAATTGTGTAAAAGCAGTGCCCTTTAACAATCTTACCTGCTCTGGAGTAACTTGCACTGCTGAATGCTCTGCTTTGTGGCTGTGTTGCAATTTTTAACCTGGCTACTGCTCAGTTTTGTTGGGGATGCTCCTAGTTGTTATTTAACAGTAGGTATGTGAATTCCCCCTTTGTATGGCCAACGTTCCTGATGCTTTTCTCCAGTCAGTCCATACCTCAAAAACAACTTATAATTGTAGACCTAATATATTCATCACTGTTCCCCAAATACTTGAAACTGTATAAGAGAGAGCTTGATTAGAGCAGAACACACTGTTCTCAAGCAGGGGTAGGCATTGATTTTTTTATATAGTGGTATTATGGTTTTAGGCTGTATAAAAGCTTGATGGAAAATAACAATGTTTTGTTTGCTTTTTTGACAGCTTCTAATAGCAGTTCAGTGAGACCTCCAGCAATGTATTTAGTATTCAAATTATTCTGTTCACTGTGCGTGGTGTCAACATGTAATTGTGGTGGGGGCAGGCTAATGAAAGAGTAGAGGTAAACCCAGCCCATTCTTCTCAGGGAGAAGGTGCTGTAGTGCCTCCATCTCATATCTGTCAACGACTTACATTAAGTGATTTTTTCACTAAGTGAGAAGAGGTAACACAGAACCTGAACTGCAGCGCCATTTTAATAAATGGTCCCCCTATTTCAACCTCTGCCTATCCCAAAGAAAGTAGGGATTTATTAACCATGTTTTATTTACTTACTGCAAAGTAGACATATTTTTCAATGAAATAGTGAGATCGAGTGCACCCTCACCAAGTTTGCAGAGGACACAAAGTCAAGTGGTACTGTTGACACAAGAGAAGGACCTGGTCAAACTTGAGAAGTGAGAATGTAGCAAGGTTCAGCAAGTCCTAGTGCATGGTGCTGCAGGGTCAGGGGAATCCCAGACATGAGACCAGCCTGGGAGAACTCACTGAGAGCAGCCCTGTGGAGTTGTGGTGGATGAAAAGCTGGACATGAGCCAGCACTGTGTGCTCGCAGCCCAAAAAAGCCAGCCATGTTCTGGGCTGCATCCAAGGCCCTCTGGGCAGCAGGTCAAGGGAGGGGATTCTGCCCCTCTGCTCTGCTCTGGTGAGACCACACTGCAGTGCTGCATCCAGCTCCTGGGCACCCAGCACAAGAAAGATGTGGACCTATAAAAAATCAGTTCAGAGGAGGCCACAAAGCTTCTGCTATGAAAACAGGCTGACAGAGTTGGGGCTGCTAAGCCTGGAAAAGAGAAGGCTGCAGAAAGACTTTAG